GACGTTTTCTTACACTTCTTCTTAGAGGTGAAGTTGTTTCCGTTTCCAGCACACCCACCGTAGATAAATTTCTTGCATTTCTTGGTGACTTTATCATAGTAATGGCGACGAAATAAAGCAAAGCATGGTCCCGTATCCATCGGAAGACAGCAATCTGGAAATAAAGAGGGAACTATAGAAAACTGATTGCCGATGAGTGGGGACTGGGATCGAAGGAATGTCACAGAGCTTTATAGGGAGATCAGATAAGTTTTACCGTGTCACAACCAAAATCCAACCCCCTCCCCCATAGGGGATACAATATGACTGGTCCCTTAAACCATGTGATCTTAATTTTCAAATGGGTGTCGAACGTCAGATCCGAAATTTCTTTGGTTTTACTTAACTTCGCTCTGTGATTGGTCCAGAAAACTCGCGCCATCCCCCAACCAATTAGATGTAAAAATGAAAACTATTGCGTTTTTCTCATTAGCGTTTTCCCGCCGTTAATCAATTTGTTCGTTTTCACTTTGAGTTGTTATTGGCCAATGAGGATATAAACCTTTCTTCTGATTGGTTGCTGTGAATAGTATGGTTTTGGTCCAGGAAACTGCTCTAAAACTACAAGGAAGTCACAATAAACACATAACAGCTAACAACTCCAAGGGAACGGAGACACGATTAATAAAAGAGATTCACAGATTTGGTCAATGACTTGGCTAAGAGACAAACAGAAAATTTGATTCTCTTGTTCTAACATTATCACTACTTAGGTGGTGTTTTGCTCTGATAAGTCAAGCTAGAGAATAGAAAAAAAGCTGACCAACTTGCTATATAAAGGGACTTACCATGAACTTCTTCCTTTTTGCACTCTTTCAAACACTTTTCCTTTGTTTCAAAATTGTTCCCGTTTCCTCCACAACCCCCATAAGTAAACTCTTCACACTCTCCAGTGCGGCTGTTGTAGAAGAAACGGGGGATAGCTGCTTTACACAACCCTATTTCTTTTGGGAGATTACAAGGGTTTTCCGGTACTAGGAAATGAGCAGAATAATAAAATCATTTTGGAGATTTTTGAAAATCAACTTGGAATCGTCCTCGCAGGATGAAGTATGTATTCATGGTGCAACTGCTTTTAACCCTTTACCCCCTATCACCTGTATGCAAGTTCTCTATACTGTTCTGTACACATTTCCTATGGTACTTAAAAGGAGAAGTTGTCTAACAATCAAGATCAGAGCTGCTCAAGTTTGCGATCATTTCCTTTATTCTCGTGCTCTAAATGTTTAAATCAGAGGTGACACTGTTGGGAGAAATTATATGCTTATCACTCTTAAGGGTTAAATGAAAACATTGGAAAGTTTCTAACGAAATTTTGATTTAGTTCTTTCCAGAAAACAATCTTGGTCATTTTTTAAGCGAACATGCCAACCCAAGCAACGTATCGCGAATTATCCCGTGCTGTCGCATTAACTGTCGGAATAAGAATGAGAAGCTTGTTTGAGTTGTAGAAAACCGGGTGATCTCAACTTCAAGTTTTCTAAATGAAAAGCGAAAAGAAAGGAAACATTAAAATTATTCGAACTTATATGGCGACTCGAGCTCGACTCGGGTACGAACTTGACTCGTCATACGAACTTGACTCAGAGACGAACTTGACTCGGACACAAACTTGACTCGGGCACGAACTTGGCTCGGACATGAACTTTACTCGGACACGAACTTGACTCGGAAACGAACTTGACACGTGATAGGGTATACCTCTTTGCTTTTAAATCATTTAAAATCAGTACAAGAGGTTATTTGCCAAGACTAACAAATTTGCAGGAAAAATAATTAATCGGGAGAGATCTCTAAATTTTATCAATTATCCATCTTTTGATCAGATCTGTGATGTTGATAATCGAAATGCATTTTAAAATCGATCAGAGTAACAGTCTTTTCTCTGGTGTAATTGTCATTGTCTATCGCATAATTATACCATGGAAATACACCGTTACATCCAAAGTCTTCCAAAAAAAACTTAGAAGCCTTTGTTTATAAGTCAATGAATGCTATAACTGGAATAACTACGAAAAAATCCGGCTTCGAAATTAATGAGTCTAAGCCGAGCGATTCATAAGCAGTTCCGAGAGTTCTCCCAACATCTCGCCTGGGTTTATCACGTTATAGAGCCCGGAAAATGTGTTCTATTGCTTTTATGTCATAACTAGTTACATGCGGGTTCTATAACCCGATAAAGCATCCGATTGGAAACTGAATCGACCAATCAGACGATGCGTACTATGTTCATTTACGTTATAAGATGGGGGCTTTGGGATTTTCGGTTTTGCGGTTTTGACTGTTTTTTTGGATCGCTTTTTGGGCCAAAAAGGTTCGGTTTTGATGTTCAGAGGGGTTTGCGGATTTTACGTGTTTTTGCATTCAGTTTTCGGTTTTCACGAAAACTCTGATGCGGTTTTCGGTTTTTCCTTTCTGACCCCTTTCAAAAGGTGAAAATGTAGCGGTTTTGTCAGGTTTGCATGCGGTTTTCGGTTTTGCTGCCTTTTTTCGTCGGTTCCTCGATTTTGGAGGTTTTTTTCTCCAGTTTTGCGGTTTCCCAGACGACCCAATGCCCCCCTCTTATAATAAATCGGCAGTAGCTGATGATAGAAAAAGTTATTGTATTTTTTCTTTTTCATCTCAGAACAAACATCACTTGACACAAGGCCATATCATTTGTCTGCGCTATTCTTTGCTCTTATCCTTTTCTTTTTCGTAATTTATGTTTTTTCATAAGATGTATTATCACCACGTTATTAAAGACAATGAAATTGAGGGCAATGAAAATAAAAGGACGAAAGCAAAGAAAATTACCTTATCTAATGAACGTGTTTTGTTCTAGTTATGATCAAAAATCAATTGTTGTCATTTCTTAAATAAATAGGCTGAATTTTTCAATTCATTGTGACAGAACTGAGTCTCTCCACCGTGTCTAAGGAAAAATTCAACGTGGCAGTCACCAGCTGGCGGGTGAAGGGAGAGCGAAGGAGAAAACGCAAAAGACAGACTCAAGAGGGGTTAGCTGCGCTCCACGCCTCGAGTAACGCAACTCTGGCTGAGCTCACACCTCTCTTGATCATCAAATTGGGGAGGGAAAAGACTGTTTGCGCAAGATAAACGACAACTCATTGTCTGCCCCTATATGGCGAAAAATTATTGTAATTGGTATCTGTCAGGTCGGAGTAGTTGCTTCTACTATAACTTACTTAAATTGTGCAAACTGTGCTCTTTATAGGTTTTATGACACAATTCAAAAGATCTTCACACTAAGTCTGTTTGAAATTTTGTGGTGAATCATCGGTGTTTTCTTTTCGTGAGGACCCAGGAAAATGTTAATTTGGCCAACCTTGACGATAGGCCCACAAAATTGCGTCTGAAAATGAAAATCAGCATACTGATACTCGTTTCTACTTGCAGCTAAACAAGCATCCTTAAAACTACCACTAGCGAAGTGATGTTTCATCTGAGAAAATGAAATCATAAAGATGAAAAGACTACGGTCATTTACTTTGCTGGGGATATGTTTACACTCCCTGCCATTCAAACTCCAGAAAATAGGAGCAATTTCGAATCATAGTTTTTTTTTTCAATAAGAAATTGCATGACTTGCGGTTTTAGGGATCCTTTTTTTCACTGTGGTGTTTGTTCTTTGGGGATTGACTTTCCTGTTGCGTGTTCCCAAATGTTTAACACAACTTCTACGAAGACGGCTCTTGTATACCTAACTCAGTTAAACTAATAATCCTTCATAACAGGAAATAAATTTCTCCTTGACCGTATTTAAACATATTACAGTCGAACCTGTATTAAGCGTCCCCGTACTAAGTGATCACTAGGGAACTTAAGCAGTCAGGACGGCAACGCCACGGAAGACGTCGATTAGGAAATGAGTTTCTACTTTTAGTTAGAATTTCGAAAATGGCTGCATGTGTTTACCGTCTCATAGGGCGCCAGACCTCAAACTCAACATAACGCATAAAAGTAGCGTTGAGTTCCAAATGTAAATTAAAATAATTTGCCGCCGCGGTTTCGCTTCGCAGACGACGCAAATTTTGGTGATTTCACGTTGTTGTTTTGCAAAGGACGGCTAAGAAATGTACAAAGTTTTAAAACGCACGTGCTGGGCTATTGTTCTGCCAATTAGATCTATTGTTTTTCCACGTTCTCGTTGCCGTAGCCGTCGTGGTTTGCTTAAAGTCCCTATTATANNNTGGGTGGCCACTAAATAGAATTGAACTGAATTACTGTACTGTACTGAACAAGTATCTCAACTTACCAGATACATCTACAGCGGTGGTGGTGATCAAATAACATAGGAGAAGAACATAAACCAGCATGTCTCCGATCTGTCTCTAGACAACACAAACTAGAACTTGATTACACTTTCCTTCTCGGTGTCTTCAGTAATTGTGTATCGACCTTTTAGAACATGAATTCTTATTTCCTCTAAACGGAGGAGACTGAGTACCAGTTCTCGTGTACGTATGCTATTGGTGATCCTGATGATCTCAAAAGGAAGTCAACGATACGGAAGTGTATTGTTCCAACGTGCTCGTAACTTCCGGCTTAATGATTGACCTTCTTTGAGGAGGGCAGGAAGTCACGTAACGCGACTTAATAAACGCGGATTGTAGAAAAAAAAATCACTTTGCTACAAAAGAAAATGACGTGGAAAATCTTCAAGAATTTCGAAGTGAGGAAAATTAACTTAACCTAAACGAAAATACCACAGGAACACATTCAGGTTTAATATCAGTGTAAAATTCCACGGTGCAAACAGTCTCTCTGGAGTTGACCCTAACACTTCTTGTGGCTCATTGAGAGGAATCCCCACTTCAATGTTTCTTTAGTCTTTGATACCGTTAAATCGATATCTTGATAAAGTAATCCTTTCTTTATTTGCTCTGTAGCGTTCAGAAGATTCTGCACCTCTTCGAGAATTTGGAGCGAAAACAACGGAATTTAAGGTCACGGAAATAATCAAGGTCAAAATTTTCAGACAATAGTAAGGTATTGCTATCAACTAACAAACTTGAGCTCCACAGGAATAACTAAGAGATTGACCTCGTTTGAGGAGGAAAGGAACAGTCATAATCAAGAGATAATTACAAAAGACGGGAAACTCTAACACTGCAGATCTGTTCGTTTAACAAATTATCAAGAGCCATTCGCATCAAGTGCAAAATGTTTCTCGAGTGATATTTACGTTATTGGTGACAGACTTTGTTCTTATCTTACTCCGAGAGGCTCGTGCAAAGAGGTGGCCTGTTACTTAGATTCTTAATTCAGCCAAAATCTGGATAAAAAGAAAACAAAGATATCCAATTGAAAAAAAAAAAAAAAAAAAAATTAAAAAAAAATTGGAATCGAAAGGTCGATCGTGAATCTTTGTCCTACAACTTCTTGTTTGCCAAGTCAAGTTTATGCTGCACTTGCCTTTAGTTCCATAACGAAATCGGCTTCCTAGGGGGAGAGGGGGCTGGGACAGTCTTACATCACCACCAACTTCATAGGCTCGATTACCTGCCGCTGTTTGGAGCCCGCGCTCTTCCCTGGGGAGGAGAAGGAGGAACAAAAAGGACCGGACTCGAGAGAGCGGTGGAAATCGAGCCTACGTACATCAGTGTAGAAGAGCAATGCTTAGCCTGCAGAGCAGGCGTTCTTGTGGAGTTTGGGCGAAAATTAGGACTTTGGGCTTTCTGTTTTATTTTCCAGACCGCGCGTAAAATGGAGCGAGGCGAAAAATTACCCCCTCCCCCTACCTTCTAATTGTTCGCCTCGCTCCATTTGACGCTCGGTCTGGAAAATAAAACAGAAAGCCCTAAGTCCTAATTTTCGCCCAAACTCCACAAGAACGCCTGCTCTGCAGGCTAAGCATTGCTCTTCTACACTGATGTACGTAGGCTCGATTTCCACCGCTCTCTCGAGTCCGGTCCTTTTTGTTCCTCCTTCTCCTCCCCAGGGAAGAGCGCGGACTCCAAACAGCGGCTGGTAATCGAGCCTATGAA